GCAGTGGCATTTTACTTGCCAGACATACTTTAACTATCTGAAATATTTTCTATTAATATTGCCTATAAGTCCACAAATTTCAGTTTATTTTGTGTTCATAAGGGCTTTTTAAAAAATGAAGCCTTGTGTTGTTATTCATATTTTAATGTAAACTAGTTTAATCAAATTGCTTTTCCCCAATACCTCTTTGAGATTCCTAAAGGACTAAAAGCCTGGGGAAAAAAGTGACAGGATGTAGATGAGAAGTGCCTAGGGTCAGGAATGCACAATAAATGGAGACAAACTTTCTTTTCCTTTCTTTTACTATGTTGTCCTCTGTTCTAACCCAGTGTATTATATTATGGGTTAAATACATTATCATAGGCTTCTGGCCTCCATTTGAAGAGATCTGGGCAACTCATAGATTATACTGCTTCTTAATTCCAGGGAGACAAATAAGAGAATGGAAAATTATGATATAACTGCTTTAACAGGAATAAGACATTTTTGTGACAATTTTGTAGAAGCCTTACCACAACATACTCCTTAAAAAAGAGCATTGCTTTTCCAGAGAAATAAGCTTTGAGTTCCAATAAATACTGTTCCAATAAACATTATTTGTTGAATGAGCATTATTTATTGAAATGTTATGGGGTTACTCTTTCAAAGAATATCTTCAGAGCAATATTGTTTTTGGGAACATTTAAAAATATTAAATATAGTGATTTTAAAACTAAAGCTTATATGTTTAAATAAACATTATCAAATCATCCATATTAATTTCCATGTATAAATACATTGTTTGACTTTTAGTTACTGATGATTATGCCAGTTTATCATTATATAACTCACAGAAGGGTAGTTGACCTATGGTGAACCATAATTTGCACTGTGAAACATAATAAATCACATTTTTCTGAGCAAATAAAAAGAAAAGAAAATTGATTTTATAGAAGAAATATGTTGATTCTTAAATTATTGCCAATAATAGATGAATCATATTCAAGCTGGGATAAAGAGAGTACAAGAGGCATGAAAGAGTATGTTAAGTATAACTATGTTGAGGGAAACTCCCTGAGAAGTCATCCACTGATTAACTAGGAATCATGTCTGTCTATGTCTCTGCTACTCTTATTAAAAACAGACTCTCTGCTTTCAAGTTTTCTAGTATACTTAAAATATTCTTAGAAAGACAGTAACTTAGTAGGTATTGCTCTATAGATGCTTTCAAAGTGAGTTACTAAGAATATTTCTTTAAATTTAGTATGAATTATTTAAAACTATCAATTCAGAAGTCATGAGAAATTCAGGGAGCAATGCCATTTAGAATGTGAACTGCACAGTTTTGTTTTGTTTTTTTTTTAAACCTAGACTAACAATTATTTTCCACACAGGGCTTCAGAATAGTGCTGCTGGAATTTCAGGAATACAGCTCAGGAGAGAGCATATGCTTCATATTTCTGAGGCTTTGAATTTCATCATAGTTATGTCAAATTTGAAAAACTAAATTAGTCACAAGTAATACTTTCCATGACTTAGTGGCCACGTGATCCTGGATAGATTACTTAACCTTTCTATATCTTAGTTCCCTTATTTGTTAAATGATTTTCTTCAGCAACTAGATCTAATGTTAAAACACATAGCTCTATAGGAGGCTCTATAATTAGCATTTGTTATAAAGATAAAAAGTAAAGAATGTAAACAGAAGCTAAATAAACCTCATCAAAAAAGAGAGAAATGATGTTGCAAATTTTAATCTAAGGAATTTTAATCTAAGGAATTGAAAACTAATATAACTTATTGTATATATGTCTGAAGAAGATTCCTCTGTAATTTTCTCTTTGACCCATATCAGAGGAAGATGAACCTCAGATGATAGGTTCATAGATGATCCAGCAAAGATAGTTCCACATCAAGAAATACCTTGTTGTGGTACAAAATAGGGTTGTATTTTGGACCCCCTTAAAAAGTTGTACTTAAGAGACTTGATTATATTTTGAGGTAAGCTGGCTGCATAATTCTGGCAATAGAAAACAGAGTGATAAGTGTTCTACATTCAGTGATAGGATTTGTCAGACGTTATTGGAGGCCTTATAAAGATGTCAGATTATTTATTCTCGAAATAATGTTTCCCTTTTTTTGATCACATCATCCACCTCTGGCTTCTAGATAAAACTCCAATTGAGGAAGTCAACTCAGTTATCTAAAGGATAATTTTGCAATGGTTCTTCACCTTAGAGCAGTAATTCTCAAATTAGTCTACATCAGAATCATTTGATAGACTTGTTAAAACACAGGAACCCCAACTCCAGAGTTTTTATTCCATTGGTCTGAAGGGGCTCCAGACAACTGCATTTCTAAAAGTCTCCAAGTGCCGCCGATGCTGCTGATCTACTCCCTTAGAAAATATCTAGGAAATTATAATGCTTAGTACAATTACTCTTTACCAATATTTATTTTTTCTATACTAAAATGATTGCTGTCAAAGTTATAAAACTTTCAAGCCTTTAACATTCATTTATTCATGAATAGAAGTAAAATCAAAATTAAAAAAAAATTGCAGCTATGCTTATAATATTCCTTTGGTCCATCCTTCTGTAATAAATTTCTGTCAGGTTTGTATAAAAAGAATCACTGCTATTGCTTCTAAAGAACTTGTCTTTATTGTATGAGCAATGTAAATCATAAAACTAATCGTTTCCCTTTCTGCCTTTGCTGCTTGTTAGAAAGCTCAGGGTTAACATATATGGCCCACATGTAGTGGGTATGTAGGATCTTACACTATGCATTTGCTTCACAGACTTTACTTTTAGAGTTATCTTGTCTTATCCTGACTTTATTTTCTCTTGATTTCTTCTCCATTGACAATATTAGTTAGAATATTATAAGTATTTTTATAAATAACCTACATTCCTTCCTCAAGTATGGTAAAATATAAACCAACAAACAAATTTGTGTTATCTGAAGATATATTTACAAAAAATTTAATATCTTATTTTATCAGGACTTTATGCTTTGGTCTCTGGATTATATAAGGTGAATGGATGAGAGACTACAGCATAAAAAAAAACACAAAAGGTCAGGTGTGTCTATTTGTTCCAGGAAGAAATACAAAACAAACTAACAAAAAAAACACATCATTTCTGATATCTAACTCAAATAGGAATACATCTAAAATATTATAGCATTATAGAACTATTTTCTACAAAATTCACTGTACCATTTGAAGTTATTAATATTTTCATTTTAGTGAAAATTTTCCAGAAATTTAGAACCTACTAAGTAAAGTGCAAGGCTATTTTCATTTGTCTTAAATTTACTTTTGTCTGGCTTTAGGCCTGTGATACTTCCAGTATATTGGAATTTGTGATAAATGCTTTTGTATGGTAATAATGCAATCTGTGGAAGAGACTGGTAGTTTAGGAGTAGGTACTGATGTAAGAATCTCTGCCTTCTCTATGTTGTCTTATTGGAGAAGCTAGAAACTGGTACATATGTATGCACCTGCTACAGATGTATACCCAACATAGCCACTTATGCTTTACTTAACTAGTTCTTGATGTTACAAAGGAATGTAATGTAATAGAAACTTAAGATTAAGTATGTAAGGATAAAACAGGCCTAAGTTTTAAAAAATCCAAATTGCTTTTCTCTATTACACAAAGACCATGAATATTACAACTATAATGATTTAATTACTAAGTCATAGAGCATATAACAGCTACAGTTATGTGTAAATTTTGCTATTTTAATTCTTTTATTAAATCTTCAATAGCTATATCAGAATAAAGTATTTTCATGACTTTGGCCATGAATAGTATTGAGCAACTAAAAATGTGTTGAATAAAAAAAGGTAATGGAGTACAAGAACAATGAAATAGGCTGGGCTGAGTGGCTTATGCCTGTAATCCCAGCACTTTGGGAGGCCAAGAAGGGTGGATCACAAGATCAGGAGTTCGAGACCACCCTGGCCAACACAGTGAAACCCTGTCTCTACTAAAAATACAAAAATTAGCCAGGCATTGTGGTGCACCCCTGTGGTCCCATGTACTTGGAAGGCTGAAACAGAAGAATCACTTTAGCCCAGGAGGTGGAGGTTACAGTCAACCAAGATTGCACCACTGCACTCCAGCCTGGGTGAAAAAATGAGACTCTGTTTCAAGAAAGAAAAAAATAATAATACTTTATTTCTGCCCTTGGTAGATCTCATACTTCAAACTATTCCCAAAGAGTAGTTCAAAAAGATTCATACTAAAAGACTTTTGAACCCTTAACAGCACTGCATGAATATATACAGATGCTCTTTGCTTCATGATGGGGTCATGCCCTATTGTACCCATTGTAAGTTGAAAGTGCATTTAATACATCTTCCAAATATCACAGCTTAGTATAGCTTACCTCAAACATGTTTAGAATACTAGACATTTGCCTATAGTTGGGCAAAATCATTTAACTGAAAGCCTATTTTATAATGAAGTATTGAATAGCTCATGTAATTTATTGAATACTTTATGGAAAGGGAAAAACAGAATGGTTGTATGAGTACTTGATATATGGCTTCTACTGAATGTGTATTGCTTTCACACTATCCTAAAGTCAAAAACTTGTCAGTTGATCCATTATAAGCCAGGCACCATTTGTATTTTGTTGTAATAATTCAGTAATAAACCAGATTTAATTAAAATACTTTAAAGTGGGGAAAAAATCTATATGAAAAAAACCTCTAAGATCATTTAACTACTTCTTAAACGTTTTTGAGGGGCTATAGATTTTACAAAATAAAAAATTCTAAAAGATTTGTCATTAGAGGTTTAATCTTCTGTATTTTATAACAATTTTTTAAAGTAAGGCAGATTCTACTGCTAAGAGCTATACACAAACACGTAAATTTTAGCACTTAGTAATATCATGTGGCCATGGCATTATATGCTTGTGTCTGACTAATCTGCATTTAGTAGTTTTAAAAAATCTGTTTCAAATGATTGATTATTTTACAACTTTTAAAAAGAAAAATGTCTTGCCTTCGAATGGTAATCTTGTTCCAGTCTGGGATCTGATCCGGCTACCTGTTTGTATTTGTTAATTTTCATTTGGCGATTTCTCTCCTCTATATCCATAGTACCTATCGAGTAGAAAAAAACCCATAAAATTAATGTTCAGTTCTTATTTCTGAGTCCGGCTTAAAGGATGTATAAAAGAAGAAATGCTAGGCTGGTATATTACTTTCACTCAATGTAGCATATACAAATTAAATGTCATATTAGTTAAAAGATTTCTTTAAAGTATACAGTTTGGTAAGTAAAAACATGATATTAAATATGTAAAATAATTTCAATATGTATAAATATAAATAAGTTTAAAGAGAAGATAACAAATCTTCATTAGGTAGAAAACAATTTCTGGTAGATGTACATCCAGAATATATTTGACTGCACAGAAATTTGACAATAGTAATATTATGAGAACTTTAACTTGTAATTCATCATAATTTATTTATAAGTATTAAAGCTATAAGTTGCTTTCAAATACAATTTTAGAATTGCATTTAGAAACTATTATCATAAAATTAGGCTATATATTAAAGCAGTTTCCCCCGGCATATGTGTGAATCCAATTATAAGAAATTTTTGAATTTGAATTTTCTAGAACTAGGATCAACAAACAGGTTCTTGTAATACTACTACTGATAACATACCATGTCAGTAAAGGCACAAAGTATGACTGATATCAATTTTATTAAAAAATTAGAATATAAAGAGTTAAGAAAGTGAAACAGTAAGCCTCTTACAAAAAGACATTAATGCCCTCTATAACACATGCTACCTCAAAACACATCAGTTGTAAATATTCAGAGGGTCTTCAAAAATTTTGGTTAGAATGAGAAGTACATTCAGTTAGCAAATCCCAGAAAACATGAAAAAGCATTTGGAAGTATATTTATGGGGCAGGCACAGTGGCTTATGCCTCTAATCCCAAAACTTTGGGAGGCTGAGGTAGGAGGATTGCTTGAGACCAAGAGTTTGAGACCATCCTGGACAACATACCATTACCCGTCTCTACAACAACAACAACAACAAAAACAGTAACAAATTTACCGGGTGTGGTGACGCATGCCTATAGTCCCAGCAACCTGAAAGGGTGAGGCTGGAGGATTATTTGAAATCAAGAGTTTGGAGGCTGCAGTGAGCTATGATCACACCACTGCACTCCAGGTTGGCCAACACAGTGAAACCCCATATCAAAAAAATTACATTTATGATTTTTAAAAGATTCATGGGAATATCAAATTTCTCATAAACATATATAATTTAAAAATCATGATAATGTACTACAAATCTACATATTGGGAAAAATGAACTTAGTGGACTCAACTGGGTAGCTATAATAAAATGTCAGTAAATTCACACAGTGTGTTTAGGTAGAAATGCCAACATACACATACGTATGCCTTGCTTAAGATCATGACTTTAAAATTTTAGTAAAGACAACTAGACAGAAGTGTGTCTATTAAAAAATAGGTATTTTAATACTTACCTGATTTTTTAAATGGAGTAAAGGAAAAGGGGATTAAAAATGTACCAGTATAACTAGAAGTTATGGTATCCTCTCCTGAGCCAATATTTTTTAATTTTTAATGTTTGAATTTTTTAGTATAACTCTCTGCCCCATAAAAATCTCACTGCATATCAGATAGTTAAAATTTGTTAATAACAAACTTTAAAGGAAAATTGGTTAATTAAAATAATATGAAAAGGGAAGAAAACGTTTCAAAAAGAAAATCTTAGATAAATACAAAAAAAACTTATACTATATTACCTCTATATACCAGCAAATTTAAATCAACTATTCAATAAAGTGAGATAATTTGTTACTTGTAATAGTCATATGTTAACAATGATTTGACTGAGTCTGAGTCAAATTTGAAAGTGAGGAATATTAATGCTATGTTAATATAATTTGAATGACATATAAAACCAGGTGAGTGCCTCCATGATGCAAATATGAAATACAGTCAAGTATAAATATCTATTCGTCTGTTAAAATACAGCTTTGGAATTGTTTGTACTTCAAGAGATATTTTCTGGTAAACATATTTTCTCCAAAGGCCAGCCAATAAAAAAACGAACCCAACATCACAAAATTATGGGTCCTAAAACAGTATTATCTAAAAGGTGTGTTTGCAAAGTTTCTCAGAAAGTTTCATGTTGATATAAATAGCACCAATTGATAAGTTTAAACACACATACCTATATACATAATAATATGTAGTGATAAACATATACATAGAAACATATATATTTTTTTCCGATTTTTAGACTATTTTCTGAATGGAAACATCCTAGGAAAGCTACATTAAATTCCTTCTGATTACTAGGTAGTAATGTGAATAACACTGGCAGTAGTTGACAAACTTTTTCTGTAAAGGGCCCAATAACAAATATTGCAGACTTTGTAGGCCATATGGAAACTGTTATTCTGCCACAACTCTGCCAGCCATAGCATGAAAGCAACTGAAGACAATGCATACATAGTAAGTGTGGCTTTATTACAATAAAACTTTGTTTACAAAACAGGCAGTGAGTCAGATTTGGTCTCTGGCATATTGGTTTAACAGTGCTTCCAAAAGTGTTTTTCTCTTTAGAAATTGTTTAAAAATTAGGTAGAATCAGATTTATGCAACACAACTTATATTTAATAGACCACTGGCAGATCTAAGGAGAATATGAATCTGTATTTGCTGGATAAGCAAAGAAAGATGCAAACAGAGCTTTCTAACCATTTAAATATGTTATCAATTAAATTACACTCTCAAACAGATCTCTCATCTCCAGACCCAATCACCATCTATAGACAGTTCCCAAATGGGAAAATTCTTTATTAGAGTCTTAACCAATGAAATCTCAACGGACCACTTTAGTCAGCAAACTCGAGTAAATATCCTTCTACCTTACAACTTTGAAACTTCCTAGGAGAATAACCCTTGGTACAAACTGTAAACAAACAGACCTCCCTACCGAAAAATTAATTGGCTCATATGCAGTCTTTTGCTCCTTTTCTATATTTGTAGAACCTATTTCCAAAAAGAAAACACTCTTTGTAGAATAATATTCTTAGAGAGAAAAGTCTCCTATTGATAAAGTGATCCAGCATAGAGGATTCTTCACCAGCAAGGTGATTTTTCCTTGCTAGTCCTTTGCTCTGAGGAAAATAATCCAGTAATAATATTTTTATTTCAACCAAAGTTAGTCTTTTTTTTTTTCCCTTGGAATGAAAAACAATTTAGAGAAATCAATAAAATAGCTGTTCACTGGTTGAGGAAATAATCACATTATTTCTAAACTTTGTTTCAGCTCTGATATCCTATGTACACTCTATAAAAGGAAAATAAATGAAAGTGATAAAGTGAACGAATTTTGCTCAATTTCCTCTCTTTCTCAGATTCACAGTAAGAATCTGCATATTTAAGGCCCTTAAAAAGCTGCAATAAAGAATAACCACTTGACCACAGAAAAGTTACCTTTTTTCTCCATCTGTTAATATCTTGCTGAAATAATTTCATACTTTCCAAATTAAAATTTTGAAAAATGCTGGTTTATAGGTTTAGAGGGTAAATTTATCTAGGAATCTCTAAGATTCATTTTCTTATATGTGATGAACGATGCTTATTTCAGAAGATCTCTTAGTGGTTTGATATGGCTTCGTAATTCAAGTATGCTTAAAAAATTCTAGTCATTATATCTTTGAAATCAATTATCAAAACATTTTCAAATTATAAAAAAATTTGATTAAGATGGTAATGGGACAATCCAATTTCTTGGGCAAATGCATTTACAATGAAAGTTACTACATGTTTGCAAATATGTATTAATGTAAAAATATGTTAATGTTTAATGTAATAAACTGATATTCAAGTTATCTCAAATTCTTTTTGGTATAAGTAAATTATTAACTAAACAGAGAAAATATATTGTTGCATAAATATTAGAGTTGATTTAAATTATGCTGGAAATGGCCCTCTGTTTCTTGATATGTATATATATACAAATACTCCTGAATTTCCATATATGTTAGCATATCGACTCAGTAAATGACATTTTAAACAAAACTTACCTTCTTTCTTTCCCTTAAATTATATTAATTCCCTTCCTTCACTATACAGTATCTTTATTTTATTTTATAAATTTTAAGGCAGAGCACAAAAAAGACATCATATGTGGATGTTCTGGAATTAATAAGTATCTCAAAATAATCATTTTTTTAAATTGGAAGCTTCTGGCCCATTTTCAGCCACTGACCAAAAAAAAAAAAAAATCCAATATTTTGCTGTTCTTGATTTAAACTTACTTTCTTAAATCATATTACATATTCTGTGCCTATTTATTTTGATATAAATAAAAATTAATTTTATGGTTATTCTGAACTTAAAAAAAGCTGATGTAATGTGCCCAGAAAGTTAAAGATATATTGATAAAGCTGCCATGGCATCTAATATTAAAAAGGTTAACTTAGACATGGATATAGTTGAATATGGCAACATTAGCTGGCAGCCAGCTAGTGGTTGTTTAGGTTTTACTATACACTTGCCCTACAAAGATCACCAGCATACTTTCAGTGATTTCTGTAGTATGCAATACAGCAATCATTTTAAGTTTGCTTTTCCACACACACACACATACACACACACACACAAACACACTGCCCCACACACAGAAAGACAGAGAGAGTGAAAGAGCATGAGCATGCCCCTGGAGTCCAAGAGCAATTTCATACTCCAAACTTCTTTGAAGTAGGGGTACAGATTTAGCAGTGATGCAATTCAAAAGGAAGCTGAACAGCGACTAGACTATGGCAGGATTCTTGATTCAGTCATCCATCTTGTAATCATAAACAAAATGTTCAAATCTGAGGATCTTAAGAGGGAAAACTCTTAAGCCCAATACGAAAACTCAAGAAATAACACTAAACTTCAGAAAAAAATTAGAAATGTGAAATTATAGACATCATGGAAGTGTAAGATTATCTTATTTAAATCCAGAAATTGCATTAATTAGTATTTCAAATTCTTATGGATAATTCAATGATTTAAAAACATTCCCCCTACCCCTTTTCCCATCTCCTCTA